GTCCTAGGGCCTTTGAAATCCCAGAGCCGGCCCTGAAACCAGGGCTGATTCCTATTTCTAAATATACAAACAGGTAGTGCTTGACGGCACACCCACCCGAGCTCGTGCTCAGCCCTGAGAACCCCTCTGCATTGTTCGCCACCGCATGCTCAGCGGCAGAGTCCATCAACGGTGGCGCGGCACCTATGGGGCAAGATGACCGAATCCAGCCCAAGTCTGTTCAGCCAATTGGTGGATTCCTATTTCTAAATATACAAACAGATAGTGCTTGACTGTGCGCCGACGCGAGCTCGTGCTCAGCCCTGAGAACCCCTCTGCATTGTTCGCCACCGCGTGCTTAGCGGCAGAGAACATCGACGGTGGTGGGGCAAGATGGCCAAATCCAATCAACTCTGTTCAACCAATTGGTGGAGTTCGCCCTAGGGCCTTTGAAATCCCAGAGCCGGCCCTGGAACCAGGGCTGATTCCTATTTCTAAATATACAAACAGGTAGTGCTTGACGGCACACCCACCCGAGCTCGTGCTCAGCCCTGAGAACCCCTCTGCATTGTTCGCCACCGCATGCTCAGCGGCAGAGTCCATCAACGGTGGCGCGGCACCTATGGGGCAAGATGACCGAATCCAGCCCAAGTCTGTTCAGCCAATTGGTGGATTCCTATTTCTAAATATACAAACAGATAGTGCTTGACTGCGCGCCGACGCGAGCTCGTGCTCAGCCCTGAGAACCCCTCTGCATTGTTCGCCACCGCGTGCTTAGCGGCAGAGAACATCGACGGTGGTGGGGCAAGATGGCCAAATCCAATCAACTCTGTTCAACCAATTGGTGGAGTTTGTCCTAGGGCCTTTGAAATCCCAGAGCCGGCCCTGAAACCAGGGCTGATTCCTATTTCTAAATATACAAACAGGTAGTGCTTGACGGCACACCCACCCGAGCTCGTGCTCAGCCCTGAGAACCCCTCTGCATTGTTCGCCACCGCGTGCTTAGCGGCAGAGAACATCGACGGTGGCGCGGCACCTATGGGGCAAGATGACCGAATCCAGCCCAAGTCTGTTCAGCCAATTGGTGGATTCCTATTTCTAAATATACAAACAGATAGTGCTTGACTGTGCGCCGACGCGAGCTCGTGCTCAGCCCTGAGAACCCCTCTGCATTGTTCGCCACCGCGTGCTTAGCGGCAGAGAACATCGACGGTGGTGGGGCAAGATGGCCAAATCCAATCAACTCTGTTCAACCAATTGGTGGAGTTCGTCCTAGGGCCTTTGAAATCCCAGAGCCGGCCCTGAAACCAGGGCTGATTCCTATTTCTAAATATACAAACAGGTAGTGCTTGACGGCACACCCACCCGAGCTCGTGCTCAGCCCTGAGAACCCCTCTGCATTGTTCGCCACCGCATGCTCAGCGGCAGAGTCCATCAACGGTGGCGCGGCACCTATGGGGCAAGATGACCGAATCCAGCCCAAGTCTGTTCAGCCAATTGGTGGATTCCTATTTCTAAATATACAAACAGATAGTGCTTGACTGCGCGCCGACGCGAGCTCGTGCTCAGCCCTGAGAACCCCTCTGCATTGTTCGCCACCGCGTGCTTAGCGACAGAGAACATCGACGGTGGTGGGGCAAGATGGCCAAATCCAATCAACTCTGTTCAACCAATTGGTGGAGTTCGCCCTAGGGCCTTTGAAATCCCAGAGCCGGCCCTGGAACCAGGACTGATTCCTATTTCTAAATATACAAACAAGTAGTGCTTGACGGCACGTCCACGCCAGCTGGGCTCAGCCCTGAGAATTGTTCGCCACCACGTGCTCAGCAGCAGAGTCCATCGACGGTGGCGCGGCACCTGTGGGGCAAGATGATACGTCTTGTCCGCCGACCTCCACGTGCGTGCCCTTCCGGCCTCTACGTTGTGGCCGGAGCGCGCGCTTGGTCGGAGGACCAACTTGGCCGCCAATACCGCGGCTTGATCTGCCAAAGACGGCGAGGAGGTGCGCGAAATTTTTCACTAGCAGAGGGGATCAAGGGCTAATCTGCATAAGGTCCCTGATAATATTTTCCAGGCCAGCCTTTCCATACAAAAAGGCGTAAAAAGGGGGCAAAAACCACATAACTTAAGGTTGAGCCAACTGCTCTACTCCTGCCCAAAAACAGTTAAAAGCGAGGCTGATAAGGATTCAAGATGCAAAACAACATAGTATGACGGATGAAAAGATACAGCTGCAAATAACCAGCAGGTAACGAATATCAGTGCATCCCAATAATAATTTTAAGTACATAGTTTGACCGTGTCTTGCATACCAGAGCAAAACATAACAGTATACGAAGGAAAACACGGGTAAGTGAAGGGCACAACAACGAGAATTTAGCTATATAAGTCGTCATCTTCAGCTGCTGCGGCAGCGGATGCAAAAGGGTCGGCGGCAGCAGAAGAGGCGGCGCCCGCGGCCGGCTGATCAGGGAACCGGAACTCGCTGCCGAAACCACGAGACTGCTGCAGAGTCTGGGCAAAGGCCTGGTACTTGCGGATGTCGGCATCGCTCACACTCCTGCGTGCATACTTCATCGACTCCTCGAAGTGAGCAGCCCTGATCTCAGCGACCTCATCCACCTCATCCTCCTCCATGGCTTCAGGGTTGTCCTTCCTCCTCCTCTCCCTCTCGATGTCCTGGAAGGATGAGTTTCATTAGACAACGAGTATAAAAACAGATGGCAGAAAACTAAATACTGCAGGTCAATCCACAGAAAATTGCTGGTACCTTCTCGATGTTCTCCCTGATGGCGTATTTGCAAGCACGCTGGCAAATTTCCGTGATATCAGCACCGCTGAACCCTTGGGTGTACTTGGCCAGAGCACTCAGATCAATATCCTTGGCCAGAGGAGACTTCCTGAGGCAAGCTTTGAAGATCTGGTGCCTCGACTCGACATCAGGAAGAGGGATGTAGATAAGCTGATCAAGACGCCCTGGCCTAAGCAGGGCAGGGTCGATGATGTCTGGCCTGTTGGTAGCACCAATGATGAAGACAGTTTTCTTGGCGTTCATGCCATCCATCTCAGTCAGCAGTTGGTTCAGCACTCTATCAGCTGCACCTCCAGCATCGCCGACGCTGCTTCCTCTCTGTAATATCATGGTTAAGAGTTATCAGCCATTAAGAAATACAACAGTGGAACATAGTAACAAGGAGGGGGGAGAGGCTGACCTGGGTGGCAATAGAGTCAAGCTCATCAAAGAAGAGGACACATGGTGCTGACCCTCTAGCCTTGTCAAAGATCTCACGCACATTAGCCTCGCTCTCACCAAACCACATGGTCAGCAGCTCAGGTCCCTTGATACTGATGAAGTTAGCCTGGCACTCATTTGCAATTGCCTTGGCCAACAAGGTTTTACCACAGCCAGGAGGACCATAGAACAGAACACCTTTGGAAGGAGACATGCCAAACTTCTCGAATTTCTCTGGATGCTCCACAGGGTATTGGACAGTCTGCAACAATTTCATATATATGTTATACACAAGTTACAGCTAGAACAGAGCAAATTTAAGAACATTTGATAAACTAAGGAGCAGTAATATACCTCCTGCAATTCCCGCTTGACATTCTCCAGACCACCAATATCTTCCCAAGAGACATTGGGAACTTCAACAACCTGATTTACAAAAGATAAATATAAGGTAAGACCTTCAAAACATGTTCAAACAACAATTATATACATATAAAATCGACATAGGACATAGTGCCAAGTACTCACAGTTTCACGGAGAGCAGATGGGTTGCTTGTCGTTAGTGCAGTCTTGAAATGGTCGTTTGTCACAGCCATAGAATTCAGTATCTCAGCATCTATGGTCTCATCCTCAAGATCTATAATATCCATCTTCTCACGAATGCACTGAAGAGCAGCCTCAGTACAAAGAGCAGCAAGATCAGCACCAACATACCCATGGGTGTCCCGTGAAATGTGTTCCAGTTCAACCTGCAATACAATTAGAAAGCACAATGATGAACAGGTTCGATCAAACGAGAAAATCATGAGTTAAAAGATCACTCACATCTTCAGCTAACTTCATGTTTTTGGTGTGAATCCTGAGAACTTCAAGACGGCCAACTTCATCAGGGACTCCAATGTCAATCTCACGATCAAACCTACCAAATCTTCTGAGAGCAGGATCAATACTGTTTGGGCGGTTTGTAGCACCCATAACAATAACATGCGCACGGGACTTAAGCCCATCCATAAGGGTCAACAGCTGAGACACAATACGCCTTTCAACTTCTCCATTGGTCTTCTCTCTCTTTGGGGCTATTGAATCAATCTCATCAATGAAGATGATTGATGGTGCATTCTTCTCTGCTTCTTCAAATGCCTTCCTGAGATTGCTCTCACTTTCTCCTGCTAACTTGGACATAATTTCTGGGCCATTGATCAGAAAGAAGAATGCACCCGTCTCATTGGCAACAGCCCTGGCAATAAGGGTCTTGCCGGAGCCAGGTGGTCCAAACAGCAATATGCCCTTTGGAGGCTTAACACCGATAGACTTGAAAAGTTGAGGGTGACGCAGTGGGAGTTCAACCAGTTCTCTGATCTGGGCCATTTGCTTCCTGACTCCACCAACATCATCGTAGCCAACATCGTCAAGCCTCTCCTCGTCCTCCCTCTTAACAGGTTCACCATCGCAGAAGATCTCAGTGTCTGGTGCAACAATGCAATACTCTGCCGGGTCAGTCTCTATAACTTTGAACTCCACACTTCTCATTCCACCCCTCACAAGGAAAAGGTCTCCCTTTCTCAAAGGACGGTAAGCTTCAAGGAAGTATGCTGAAAAGCACAAGACAAAGACAATATTAGTGAAAGGTTCTTGGATGCAACTAAGTAGACCATCCCAACTAAACAAAGGCATACCAAGTGCAGCATAAGGTACAGTGAATTAATGTATCATGATAGACTTGGAAAATTAGCAGTTAGTAGTCAAAAAAACTGAGAAAGGTATGTGAGTGTCCACCAAAATTATCTCTCTACTCTTAAATAAAGTTGTAAAAAGTTTAACTTAAATAAGGGTATGGCAATGCTAGGCAAAAAAAAGGAGACTTGGGCCATCACAAAAAGAGCTTTACAATAGAAAATTATAGTGATAGAGGTCTCACGTTTCAAGAAGGCGTCAAACAAGTTTCCTGTAATCCCTTCAACTGTGTCATCAATAGGAAGTATGTGCACCCGCTTCCCGTATTTCACATCCGGGCATTGGTGAACAGACACCACGTCACCAAGTCTCACTCTCAAGTTCTTCCTGACAGTTTTGTTCATTCTGATCTTCGGCTCATCACATGTGTCATCAGCAAGAACAATGCAGATGGTGTCCTTCCTCTTTTTTCCCTGCAACATATACACAAGATTTTAGCAGATATAAATTTAAGGATGCATACTTAAAGAAAAAAATTATATAGTGCCAATACACAAAAGGACACATAATTCAGCAAACATGATGATACACAAAATACATAGTCTTAACAAATGTGTCAATACGGAACACATCAATAAATAATTTTTCATGCTAAATCCCAAGTTTCGGCAGTAGCAACACAAATCGAGTACTATAATTTCCAAACAGTCGCCCACAGTTATTAACTCCCATTGGCCCAAGTTTACAAATCGAATTGCAGTCAGCCAAGCTATCCCACAAGGCATACTGATATGCAGATATCCAAACATCAAAATAATTTTCACTGGATTGGTTACTAGGTTAACGGGGAGAGCAGCTATGCACTGTAGTGCCCCACCCTTAAATCCCCACAACAAATACTCCCTCCGTCCGGAAATACTTGGCATCAAAATGAATAAAAGGTGATGTATCTAGATGTATATTAGTTCTAGATACATCCATTTTTATCCATTTTGATGACAAGTATTTTCAGGCGGAGGGAGTATGTATGTACCCAGAACACTGTTGAATCTGGAGACCAAGCTCAGAATTAATCACCTTTAGAACACAACAACCTAGCAACCAGATCCTAAATATCCACGGCCCAAGACTAAATTGCCACCAACAGCTCGCAGGAGAGATTAAAACGACAAAAGCTTAGGTTTTTCCTACAGATTTGCACTCTAAGCTACTAGCCGGTTCCATGAGCTCATCAAATCACTCGCGACGAAACTAAAATCCCTAGATCGGGACCAAAATTAACCGGCCCGAGCACCCAGATTTCGACCTAACTAACAGATGAATCGCGCAGGAACAGCGCGTACCTTGAGGAGGACGGTGTCGCCGCGGAAGAGCTGGAGCCTCTCCATGGTGTCGGGGTGGAGGGCGACGACGGAGTTGTCGTCATTGGTGGCCTCGTCGACCACGAGGCGGTTGGGGGACTTCTTCCGCTCCAGGATCGCTGTCGAGTAGTCCTTCTTCGCCTTGCTGTGACCAAATCCGCACACAAATCAACAAAAGAAGGCCAGATCGGAGGCCCTGGGGAGGCGGATCGGGGCGGGAACTTACGGATCGGCGGAGGAGGAGGGCTCGTCCTGCTGGGGCGGCGGCGGGTTGGGGGTCGCCATGGCCGGCGGATCCGGGGGGGTCGTCGGCGGCGTCGCTAGGTTTCGGCGTCTCTCTCCGGGTCGCTGGGTGGGCAGCAGGCGAAGTGATGAGGAGGAAGAGGCAGGGCCAGAGGGGATTAGTTTAGCTATAAAGACTCTTTCTTGCGAGAGGGGTTTGGGATTTCCCCTCCGCGACCCGGGCTCGGTGCGGGAGTTGTACACGGCCTCCATGACGCGCGGGCCCGGGATGGCCGTGGCCCACCGGGCGGATTCTACAAGGGCTCCGGGTCGGGCCACCTGGAAGACTCTAGAAGGTGGGTAGGTGTGTGTGTGGCTTGTCCTTATATATAATAATAAATCCTCGAATTGAAAAAGAAAAGGAAAAAAAGGTGTGTGTATGGCTCGGGATGGAAGATGATCTCCTATGTTGTCGACGGGTTTGGTATCTCGATTTTCTTCTACCAAGAAGAAGAAGGGAGGGTTTTTTTTTTAGCATCAGTACAGACACAAGCGCTCATATACATGCGCATACACTCATTCCTATGAACGCACACACGCACACCCTACCCCTATGAGCACCTCTGAGAGACTAAGCCGGTATATCATCCTGAGATTTACGAAGTCACCGTAGGTGCCTCGTCGTCGACGGGAACGTCTCCTCCCACTGAAAGCGCATCGCCGGAAATCCTGAAATAAATTTAGAAATAATGCGAGCACCAGGATTTGAACCCTGGTGGGTTGGAGATACCACTGTCCCACCTAACCAACTCAACCACAGGTTGATTCGCAAGAAGAAGGGAGGTTGTTAATGGAATTGAATTATTCTCTTTTCAATATGGAGTATGTTGTTTAGACACACCGCTCATCTTAGTTTATCTTTTCTTTCAAAATGATTTGAAGATGGCTCGCCACGCCTGCCACATGGTCCTCACACTAGTTTTTGGAGATTAAATAGCCATACAATATTTATTTTTTAAAGATAAACATATTTTATGTTAAAGCTCCCTTCATGGATTTTCTCAGCTTTGTTGATGATCAAGTTGGAAAGACAAACACATTCACGCCATTCGACCATCTTCAATGTACCTAAATGTAGGAGGATTAGAGAGGGACTAGAAGAAAACGCGTGCCTTGCCGCGCCGTTCTTCTTTATGGGACCTATTTTTCGTTTATTGTTGGTTTAATTTTTTTTCTAGGCTTTTCCCCCTCAATTTTATTGAGCTAGGCATATTTCTCTGTCTTAAGTTGGCCTAGGAAGAAAAGAAAAACGAAACACACGCTAACAAAGCAGGCACACTTGCCTTCCAACAATGAAGCAGGGACACGGTTCCCTTGGAGCTTGGTATCTATAGAATTTTCAAATGAATTTTAGCCATGTCACCAACAGCAAACAACAACATACTGGAGTAAGAAAATAACTGCATACCATGTAAATATACCATAATTCTAAAACAAGTACTGCCATTGGTATTCTCATATCTTTGAGGTCCCTGCTTTTCATGCAACTCAACCAGACATATACTTGCAGAAACAAATAAATACAAATGTAAATGAACTACCACAATTAATGCTCCAGAAAGAAGATATGTCTGAATATACTCTCATAGACTCAAGTGTATGCTTCAATGGATTGACAAACATTCTAGCCATTCTAGGAAAAAGATATTTGATGGTACTGATGTACTCCTTACGTTCCTAAATATAAGTCTTTGTACATATTTCACTATGGATCACATACGAATGCACTATAAAAAGTACACTTTCGTGATGATACGTGTTTGTCACAGTAGGTCATGTTTTCTGTCATGTATATACATCCATGATGAATTTATGACAGAATCAAGATAGTCATACCTGTGTTGTCGTAGAAGTGTTCTACGACATTATCAAAATTATCATCACAGAATTGTTCACTTTCATGACGATAAATGTCGCGTCATGGAAGTGCTTTCGTCAAGATTGACCGACACGTGACATCCACCGTAACGGGTCGTCGTTAAGCTATCGGGTGCGGTTTTGGATCCGATAACCCGCTAACAGAAACGATCAATGACGATTTTCCAAGTGTAAAATTATCATTGGCCGACGAAACCACGTGTCAGCTCCGCGTTGGCACAGGTGTCACTCATCCAATGGGCGAGATGCGCCTATGATATGTTGACACGTGGACTGGCCAAAAAGTGACCCATAAGGATTAAATGGGCCGGCCCAACTAAAGGCCCACAAGATTTTGCGGACCATAATGGGCCGACCCGTTAATAGACTGTCATGTTTTGGACCAAATGTCGGCCCATATTTGATCCGGTCCATTAATAGTCTGCCACGTTCCGGGCCTAACAAAGGCTCATATGAGATCCGGCCCGTTAAAAGTCTACCACGTTATGGGTCAAATAACGGCCCAGATCAGATCCGGCCCTTTGAGAGGCTTTGGGCTAAATTATGGCCCATATCAGATTTGACCCGTCAACTAAACGCTATGCTTTTGAGCTCACTTGCTAAAGGCTCATTTAGTAATTCGGCCTGATATTAGTTTCGACCTGTTAAAGGCCTGTTTAACATTTCGGCCCTATATTTATTTCGGTCTGTTAAAAGCATGTCATATAGTTGGGCCTAACTACGGCCCGGTTTGCATCCGGCCTGCTCACAGTCGATAATCTGATTGGGCCAAACAAAGACCGAGACAATTTTGGCTTGTTAACGGCATATGATGTGATTGGCACAATCATGGGCCGGGGTCTATTTCGGCCTGCTGCCGACCCGTGAGTTGTTTGGCATGTTTCAGGGCCAACCTATTTTTTAGCCTCCTAAAAGCCCATTGAGTTTTCTTGCGAAAATAGGACCGGCGGTTTACTCGGCCTATTAGAGGCCCGAATCTACTACTGGGCCAGTTTACATTTAGGCCTGTTAACGGACCGATTATGTAGTGATTTGCATTACGGCCCGCTTATGTATCGTAATTTTATGGTTTGGCCGGTTTACTGCGAAGACAAGATATAGGTCAAATTGATGATACGACCCGTAGAAGGCCCATTCATGCTACAACCCGTAGAAGGCCCATTGATACTACAGCCCGTAGAAGGCCAATTGTTTCTACGGCTCGTAGGAGGGCCATGGTAACTACAGTAAATATGTAGCCCATGGTTATTGTGGCCTAGTTTTAAAAATAGGTTATTGCGGCCACTAGCAAACTGCGGAAAAAAAACTACACTCACTAGAAGCAAACAAATAAACAAAACAACAAGAAAATAAATAAGCAAACAACTTACGCTAGGCTATCACGGCTATTACACATATTACATCCATTGGGCATCAAAGTTCGCCACCAGTGCAAATATAGGGAACAAAGCAACATATCATATACACTGGTTGTCAAAGTTGGCGACCAGTGCAAATAAACGCCTCAGCAAAACAAGTCCAGAACTGAAACCACTTCAGAAGAGTTCAAGAAACAATATCCTGGGTACCCATAATGCTGGCAAGATGCTTAGCAAGCTTATTAACTTTCTCTTGTTTGGCACTTAAATCCTCCAGCACTTGTTGTTGCACCAGAAAGTATGCATCTGAATTCTGCAGGGACTTCCTCAGTCCTTCGGCTTCCTGTCGCATAATATCTGATTGATGTCTTTCAACTTGAAGTTGAGACTCAAGAAGCCGAACTGATTCAGGCAGCAAGTTCGAAGAGCTTGTGCCAGCAGTAGTAGCCAGTAACTCGAACACTACATCAAGACAAGACTTTGGGTTTGTCTTAGTGTCTTCAATATAGTTTTTATCAGCTTTCTTGGAGACCAACAAAGATGTCTCACTATCTTGAACCTTATATGCATTGCTTCCTTTACCATTGCATAATGGGGTACTCTTCTTCAATATTTTATCTGCGTTCTAAAAGAGAAACAAACAAACAAACACATCACAGGTTTACCATGTTGTATATGAAACTCATTTTGGTAAACCAGTGTAGTAGTAAGGTGGATAGGATAACAGCATGAAACAAATATATATCTATGCAGTATGGTCACTGTATGGTCTATATCATTCTAGTTTATGTTGCCAAATCAAGATAGAGACAGTTCGAATCATATCTATTTAAGACAAAGCAGCATAGACAGAATATAAGTGTGGGAAACTACACAACAATAACAACACTTGTAATGTGCATGGCATGAGAACATAACTGTTTATTCAATTGAAACTAAAATCGACATAGAGCAGGTTACAATAGCAAACACGTTAAAGAAACAGGTTTAAAACATACATGTTGCGCCATTGGAGTTTCAGTTGCATCCTTCAAATTTGAAATTAGTTGGTATGAGTAAATACAGTGATGCAAGAGAAAAGTAGTATGAACCATAGCAACAGAACCTGACGTGAGAAAAATTCTTCTTCTGCATTAAGCGTTGACTTGGGGTTCGGAGTGGTGGTCATCGTGCTTTGGGTATTGTAGTTGCCTTACTAACTGCTCGTGTTTGGGTGCTCTATGGTGGAGACGGTGTTGTGTCAACTGAAACTGGGTTACTATCTACTCGGGTTGGTGTCGGGGATATACCCTGCGGTATGACCCAGCCGGAATCATGACCCGGCTAGGCTTGGCGACTCACCAGAGACCTGGCTGGAGCTTGGCGACTCACTGGCGATCCGCCCGGACATGGCGGTTTACATGTAACCCGCCGGGACATTGTGACTCACTGGAGACCCGACGGGCGGATCAGACGGACGACAAGCCCAAGGTCCAGCGGGCCAGCTTATACTCTGGTGGGCCAGCTTAAGAGGAAAGGGATGACGAATATTTCCTTTACGAGGAAGCAAGACTCGGACTTGTATTCAACCTGTGAGAAAGGATAGACTAGTCCTAGTCCTACTAGGATTCCATATGTAACTCGCTCCTCCAACATATATAAGGAGGGGTGTCGGTGTCAAAACCGGCGGATCTCGGGTAGGGGGTCCCGAACTGTGCGTCTAGGCCGGATGGTAACAGGAGGCAAGGGACACGAAGTTTTACCCAGGTTCGGGCCCTCTTGATGGAGGTAAAACCCTACGTCCTGCTTAATTAATATTGATGATATGGGTAGTACAAGAGTAGATCTACCACGAGATCGGAGAGGCTAAACCCTAGAAGCTAGCCTATGGTATGATTGTTGTTCTGTATGTTGTCCTACGGACTAAAACCCTTCGATTTATATAGACACCGGAGAGGGTTAGGGTTACACAAAGTCAGTTACAATGGTAGGAGATCT